GAACTGATGTTGAAACCAGGTTCCGAAATAATAAATATAACCTGAGTAAGTAAATAAATAAAATCTATTTGTACTGGTAAACTAATCAATAAAGCACAGTGCTGGCTGTCACAATGGGGCTTCCGACTTGCAGCCAAAAGGCTCTCAGAAAACAATGCTGTATGTCATTGATTTGCATAAGTATGTATGTTTATTTTTTGGTTACCAGTTCAACCACATGTTCCAAGTGCAACAGCAAGAGAAACAAAGCTGCTGCATAGTGAACTGAAACATGCCTAAGGCAACACAAAGGTTTTTAATTGCTCAACTTCCATTCCTTCAGTGTCTGGTTCTCTAGGTGACTGATTAAGCTCTAAATTTTGAATAATATGCTAGACTCAGTGTGTAATAACTCTGCTAATACATTGAGCTCTTCTCATGCCATCTCTGCTTCTGACCATTCCAGCCTTTGCTTTTTTGCTTGCCCAAGGTGTGACATTGCACCACATACATCTGTACTGAAGTGTTTTAATATCCCACAGATAGGATACTGGGATGAATTTATTCCTGTGTTCTGTTGGTGGAAACCCATCTTGCAGACTATAGGGAACAGGAAGTTCCCCTGGAAAAGAGATCACAGCAGCGCAGGCCCTCCAGCAATAGGAGCTTTTGGAGACTGCATTAACTGATATTTTAAGGAACTAAAATGTCAGAGACAAAACTTTTATATAGACCAGCAATAGGAGCTTTTGGAGACTGCATTAACTGAGATTTTAAGGGACTAAAATGTCAGACACAAAACTTTTATATAGGGAGAAATGATGGCAAGTTTGATTTCTACCATTTCCCTCTTTTTAACTGTTCTATTTTAGGGTGCACCTACATTGCAGGGCTTAACTTGAAATAAGCTACGTAAATTGAGCTACATCAATTGCGTATCTTATTTTGAAGTAGCTTATTTCAAAATAGGGAGCATGTACAAAGCACTTATTTTGAAATAGAGCACCCTTCCTCTGACTTCTCTTATTCCTCATATAATGAGGGTTACAGGAGTCGGTGTAAGACGGCCTCTACCTTGACAGTATTTTGACACTATTTCGAAATAACTGCCTGCTGTGTAGATGTGGACTAAGTTATTTCGGAATAGTGACATAGTACCCTTATTTCCTTTTTTAAAACAAAACAACATCCCTTCTCATCATTGCTGTGAACCAGACTTTGCAATGTTCTTGCATCAAAAGGAAGAGAAATTGTTTCTAATGTTAAAAAGAAATTAAAATTTATTTTAGAAATGAAATATATGAATGAAATGAAAATGAAAACAAATATAGTAAAATCTACATTGTACAACCCTCTCTCACCTTGGGGATCACTCTTCCATCAAAGTCAGTGGAAATACTAATGGAAGAACTGGTGTGAGCTATTGTTGCAATATATGGCATAATTCTTCTATGCATTTGCTTCTAATTTTTTTCCAGCCACCTTGTTACTTCTTTTCTTCATTTAGCTGGTTATTGTGGAAAATATTCTGATACTCAGGTTGGTGATACATCCAGTACCTTATAGCCTGTGATGTGTCTCTGCACCCTCTATATTGCATGTCTGATGTACATGCATAAACATTTACTAGATTGAGCAGGAGACTTTTTGCTATTTTGTTTGTGCTAAAAGGATCCAAAAGTCACGTTTTGCCAGATAAATTAAGAATTTTTGTTATCACCTGGGAAATATTAGAAAACATTAGGAGTATCAAAATGCGGAGTGACTATTTGGTTGGGGGGTGGAGAATAGTTTCAATTTATAAAGGGTATTAAAGTCCCTTTTCCAGTTTCTATGGAAGGGGCTATATACAACACCAGCCCATGCCTACACAAACCCTTTGATACAGGCCTGTGAAGCAATAATTTGTGCCAGGCTATGTCTCTCCTCCTCATTCTTAGAGTGTAGATACCTATTAAAAATTTGATTGTTGAAAAATGGCTTTTGAATGCAGGACTCTAATAAGAGTTAGGATATGTCAGACTAGTACACACATCTTGTACAATTGGTAGTATTTCTGCAGTCTAATTTCATTTCAGATCTGTTAAGTTTCACACATCTGGCATTTAACTTTTTCTGAGGCTGCTGTCTTTAAAAGTTCAATAATTCTGTCTCAGGGACTTTTGCTTGATTAAATAAATTAGCTGAGTGATCAAACCCTTACCTCGTGTGAGCACTCAGGTTGCTGACAATTATTGCCCTTAAAAAGAAAAGTTTATTTATCAAAGTCTGCTTGTTACACTGGTTGGATAAATCTGTTTCTAAGTGAAGTTTGTGACTTCCAGCCCGTGACTATCGGAAAAACATGACCATTCAACCCAATCTGAGATTTACACCGCCGCTTAAATCACATCCAAGTGGGTGATATAGCCTCAAGCCCTGTCTGATAATGTACTAGTCTGTGATTTGACATTAAACTCAATTATTGGAAATGAAAAAAAAAAATCTCTCCTTTCATATCCATTAGCAAAATTGGCATTATATTTTATCTTCTCTTACATCAAAGGGACTTTGGGGTTGTTTTTCTCAGTTTTATTGTTAAAACATTTTAATTAAAAAAGTATTCAATTTATTTTCTGGATCATTGATGGGAACCAGGCGCAAGCTCTGATTTGCATATGAAAGCAGCAACTCTATGATATCTAGCTGTCAGCAATATTTTTCTAAAAGGATGTAAACCTGTCAAAGGTTCTTTAATGTTGCTGCATATTCTAGGGTCTGACTTCAGAATAAACTTTTTTTAAAGAAGTTCAAGCTGTTCTAGTTGCCTTCCAAGAACTTTGTATAAACGTAATTTATCTTTTATGAAAATAAATTAATTGTGACCATTTATTACTCTTTAATTGCTCAAACAAAGCAGTATAAATAAAACTATAACTTTCTGAAGCTTTCGGCTTTCATTGTGCACTGAAACACTTAGAAATACCAAATTATTTCTGTGTGTGTTAATAGGTGTTCATACAAAAACTCAAAATCATGCAATGGTTAGATATGTTCATGTAAGTGTAAATATAGTTGTTCTTGCCAGATCTTTCCTGGTGTAAATCAGCAGGTTGAACCTCTCTAGTCTAGCGCACTCTCGTCTGGCAACATCTGTGGTCCAGCATGATTTTAGTTATATGGATGTCCACTTACGATTGGTGTGGTCAAATTTCCCATGGTCCAATAAAGTTTGTTTACAGCCACCAGTCCTGGCTTCCAGTTCTGTGCTGTTGTTTAGCTCTAATTTACCCCTAAATGTCTTCTAAGAGCCCAGTAAACAGCGGAAGTGTTGGTAATGCTGCTAGGCAATTTTGACTTTCTGTGGTCTGACAAATTCTCTGATTCAGCACCAGTCAGGCCTTCCTGGTGCTTGACAAGAGAGATTCAACCTGTATTAGCTTCAGGGGAATTTTGCCAGCTCAGGGTATTACTCAGCATCCATCATGTATGCATATTAGGTTAATTAGCTTTATAATTCCTAAATGTCTTTCCCAATTAATGGTTATTCTGCAACTCTTTAAATAAAAAGTTTGGGGCTAAATCCTGTTTACCATATTCACACAGAGAGTCACATTGAAGTTAATGGGCAAAGATTAGCAAAATTTGATCCTTATTCAGTTAAATACTAGCACTATAGGATGTAGCATGGGGTATAGATCACAGCTGGAGGATTCTCTGCATCTTGGGGTCTTCAAAGTATTTGAAGGCTTCAATATTTGAGATATAGGTGAGAGGATTATTCCAGGGGTGGTTGGGTGAGATTCTGTGGCCTGCACTGTGCAGGGGGTCAGACTAGTTGATCATAATGGTCCCTTCTGACCTTAAAGTCTATGAGGATCTATGGCACACTGAATAAATCTGATTTTGATTCTAAACTTTTGATTCTGGGAGTCAGAAATGTCTACTGCAATATACTTTAGCTAGTGCCCAGATATGACTAGGGCATCAGAGTATCCCAATTCTGTTTTCTTGTATCTGAAATTCCCATAGCAAATGTCAGAGGAATAAGGGGAGAAATGTAGATTCAATGTGCAATATTTCTGCAGAAATTCCATTCCTAATTTTGGTGTGTCATGCAAGAACTCATATTCTTAAGTATTTTTATGGGGAGAAATAGAAAGTTCAACTGTTAGTCTTCTAACCTTCCTACTCCAACAATTTGTATTTAATGAATCTGATCTTATCAAGGATGATAGCTGAAGATATGTACAGTCAAGCTCCCTCATGTGCTCTTTCTCATTTTTTTCCTCTCCTCTAAGTTCCCATGGGCAATTAATTTGTTGGCTGTTGCATGCCACAGAACCACTTGCTGTCCCTGCGGCAGCTGAATGTGAACCCTGAGGAACTGGGCCACGTTCTTCTCTTTTTTTCTGTGTCTCTTGCCACAAGGAGAAGTTATGTGAATGTCTCTTGCCTGCTGGAAATAAAAAACAAAATATAGGTGATAATCCAAAAAGAGAATCAATTCGACCAACCATTAAGCTTTATTCGTTTTGATCACTTTTAAAAGTGTCTAGGTAGTCTGGTTTGTAACCCTGTCAATGATACTAAAGAATAAAGATATTACCGCATTTACTTTTTTTCGAAGTTCCTGTTTAAACAGAATTCTCATGAGAGAATATTACCCCTCTCATCAATTTTCTCCTTATTTTTTTAAAGCAAGTGCTTCGCCTTAGACTACAACTCAGCACCACTGACGAATCAATATTATTATTTTCAGTTAAATACTTGCTCATACTTCCACACTGTTTTCCTTCTTTCTTGGACTTTTTCAAGGTCTGCCTATTATGACAGACAATAATAGAAGCATCTCAGTTCACTTCCCCTACTGAATCCTGCAAACTCAAAACTGCTTTAACACTTCTAAATATAATACCCCTTTTATAGCTTCTAATTTGCTGGGTCTCACAACAGGGTGGTTTTTTCATTAATTCTTTGCCTCTAGCTGTTCTTCAGCTGTAATTCTGTTTTACTTAGCAATGTTCAAAAGAGTCCCTTTAGCATTGGCGTAAACTTTGCACAAAACAAGTCTCAGCTATTTCAAATGTAGCTTCCCCCTTATGTTGATTTTCCCCATACATAATTATTATCTATAACTAAATCAAATCCTCCTCCTCTTCAGCTGTAATTGTGGTGAATTCACTTTGGTAAGAAAGTCTACATCAGAATTAGTTCACAGTAAGGAAAAAAAGAAGATTTAACAAGAACATTTAATACATTCATTGTAAAAAGGGAAACTGTAGCCTAACAAATTGCACCTGGTCCCAATTAACTTGTTGTAGGGCTTGGCAGCAGAAACTCCATAACATATTTTTCCAAGTGTTCTACATGGCTGTGCCTCACTGAGCCATAGAGTTTGAAAAAGGAGAATAGTGTACAAATCATGGTTTCTGAAACAATTAGAGCAAAGGTAATATGCCTGATCAATTTCCCCTGGAATTCAATGGCATGACTTTTACTGACTTGGATAGGAGTTGGGTTAGAACCAGTGACAGGAAACGTAAAGCACTTCAAACAAAAAGAAATATTATACTGTGTGTCATTCTCTTATGCTGGACATCACTTTCACTGTGGAAACAGTAACATACTTAAGGCATGATTCTGTGTGCCTTTTTAGATAGTTATACCCGGGTCTGAGAATCTTCCTCCAACTTCTTTTATGTCCACACACCTGAAATATGTCCTCTGCAACATCCCAAAAGTATTCCATTAAGTTTCAGCATGTTATGTTGGTAGTTCTTCTAACCTGGTATAGTGAAATAACACCAAGTTTTATGAATCAGCTGAATCAAATCTCCTAATTTACAATTATCCTCAGTGAATAAAGACAAATCACATCCCACTCTTCATGTCAATTTGCATATCTTGCACGTCTCTTACCTATATTATAACCCATCCAAAATTTGCAGTAGATTATGGGTTATTTGTCCATATATTTATTGCAATCAATGTCACAATAACTCTTCAAATACTTTGTGTCCTAAATGAGAAACAGCTGGATTTTTGTTTGCTTGTTTTACAGGCCGTTGCATATGCTTGCTTTTAGTTAACCTGCTACTACGAGTGCAGGAAACCACAGCAAACTGAGTCCCAGAGCAGCAGAGGGGAAGTGCAACAGTTTCTCTGTATTCTCACGTTGGACCTAATAGTAACAGAAATATAAGGTTGCCCCCATCCAGAGGAACAAATAGCAAGAGATGGGAGAAGTGGTCACCATTTTTTCATCAGCGCTCTGTCTACACTACATAATTTTTGTGGAAAAGAAAATGCAAATGAAGTGCTCATTAGCATTTCTCATGCTCTCATTTGCATAGTCTCTTCTGATCCTTTTTGCGGAAGAGGTTTTTGGCCAAAAAAATTTAATGTAGATGGGGCCATTTTGTGCGAAAAATCCCTTTTGCGCAAGAACCCTTATTCCTCAAAAAATGAAGTTTACAGGGCAGAATGGCTCCCTCTACACTGCATTTTTTTGTGCAAAAACCTCTTCTTCAAAAAGGATCGAAGCGCTTTATTGGCATTTCCTCTTCTGCTAAAATAGCACAGTGTAGACGTAGCCTAAGACTACAGTGACCACAGGAAGTTGTCATTCAACCTGGTTTGGCAGAAAGTCAGGATCATTCTTTCGCTGGTAAGAGGTGGACTTTTTAAATAAAGGTACCTTCTCTCTCTGGCTGTGTCTACATTGGCATCCCTTTCCGGAAAAGGGATGCTAATGAGACACTTCGGAATTGCAGGTTCGGAATTCCCCCAAACCTGGATGAGGTCCATGATCTTAGCACTAGACCAGGCGGGCGCCTGCCTCTTGCCGCCCCGGGCAGGCTCCTGGGAGCCACCAGCCTTGTCCAGGGAAGAGGCAGAGGGCTGGGTGGCAGCGGGTGGCTGGCTCATGCCGTGCCAGGTACAGGGTCTGCTGGCTGGGTGCTGTCAGGCTTGCACCTGGCATGGGCACCGTAGCCAGCCTGTGCCCCTTTAAGGGCACAATGTGACTTTGTAAAGCAGCAAAGTCAAACTGCTGTAATTAGCTGCTATCCTGAATAAAGTGGAAGAAATGCTGTTACCTCTGTTTCTGTGGGGTATTAGTCTAAAATAGGCTATTGTGGAGGGGGAATTTCCAGAATACCTTTCCAGTCTATGAATTGCATGGCCCTGCTACCCAAAGCTGGAAAGGAATTATTTTTTTCTTCAGTAATAGTCAGCAAAGCATTTATGCTATGTGTGTCAAATGACTTATTTTAGAATAGACACACCAAGAACAAACAAAAAAGTAATATCTATGTGAAGCTACTCTAATTCTCACTGAATTCAGTTGAAAGCAGGGGTGATGGGTAAAGGGAGATACAGGGGGGCCACTGGCCATGTGACACCCTCTCCTTAGGTCCCAGGACTTGTCTTTTCGCTGCCCTTCCTCTGCTCCTGTCCCCCCAAACAATGCAGTGCCCCGGGGAACTAGTTGGGCTTGATGCTAGCAGTGAGAGTTCATCCCCTCCATACACACACTCACCATCAGCAGTGAGGGAAGTGGAGCAATTTCCAGGGGGCAGTCTGGCTGTTTCGCTCCGCTTCCCAGCAGTGAATGTGAAAGTGGTCCAGCCACATCGCTCCGCTTCCCAGCAGTAAGTGTGGGGGAGGCGGGAGTCAAACTAGTGCATTGGAAGTTACATCCTTCCCCATTTCTGACTGTTACTAAGATTATTCTTAGAACATCACTCTCTCTTTGCGCTAATAAGATGGCTTAATTGTTTCATGTAACCCAGTGTGTTTGTGGGCAGGTTGATACTACTGCTTATGTTGATATAACTTACATAATCACTTACATCATCTCCAAGCAATGCAAGTTATTGTGACCTAAGCACTGTCTACCCCTGGGTTATGTTGGTGGGAAACAGTCTCCTGCTGACATAGCTTCTGCCTCTCTGAGGTGGAATAGTTCTCCTGTTGGCATAGAGAGTCTCCACCAGGTACACTGAAGTGACTTGGCTGCATTGGAGAAGATCTACTAACATGGGACTAGTCTATACTAGAAGTGCTAAGCAACTTTATGTACCATGATAAACTGGTATATGTTATTTCCTTAAAGGAATAACACATTTAATATTTCTGAACAATCTGGAAAGGGCAGGATAGTGCAGGACATGCTTTTCTGAGGGAAAATCTGGGATTGTGTGTGTGTTCAGGTCACTCTGGAGTCCTTAACAAGGTTGGTGAGACCCTTGTGGCTTCACAAGCATCTTGGAGTGACTGTCATGCTGATGCCTGTTTGACAGCAGCACAATTGGAGGTAGCCTTGCAAAGGCACCCCAAATTACAGAATAGAGGTAACACAGCTGCTCACTCCTGTGGATTGCACCCTTCTTTGCCACAGATACACAGAGAGGGAACAGAAGTCCCGGGAAATTGTATGATGTTACAGACCATCTTAGTAGCTCACAAGGAAATTGAGGACCTCAAGCAGGATAAGAGAGGCAATAAAAGTGGTTTGAAACAGTTTTTGTGGTACATCCCAAAAGACAAGGATCCTTTAGGGTTACAAGAATCATTTATCTGCTCTATTGAGCACAGAAGGGAACAGAGGTCTAAAACATAACATTTGCAGAATTTCAGAAACCTGGTTTCAGACAAGAAATGACAAAATTTGGCCCTGCAAACAAACTTGGAAAAAATTGCCTAGTAAAATTTGGGAATTTTCAACCGCTATGATAAGGTAAGTAAAATACATGAAAGACAGCGTTGTATTTTACAAAAAGAAAATCTTCTCCTTTTTAGTTCTGCCTTCTTTGATTTGATGTGACAACAAACACATTTCCTGTTGATTGTTTGGTCATTTTCAATTGAGTTTTCATGCAGTGTTTCTCAGATGTCATAAGAGTAATCCATATGCAGCAAATAGCCTGAATAAAATCACCTTGTGCTTCCTTGTCAACATAAAACAGTTAAGGGAAGGAAATTAGTTGGATGTCAGGTGTGTGTGTGGGAGGGGGGGGGGGGTTGGAGAGGGGGGGGGGGGGGGT